TCACAACACTAAAAAATTTCACAAAATGTGCTGAATCTACATTTATGGTTACAAGTTTGAAACTATCACCATCAAGTATTTCTACTAAATCTGATGTTAACAGATAAAATACCACAATATTACTAATCACAATATCGTAAAAGATAATTGTAGATGCAAACATATTTATGTCACCAGTTACGGCTTAATTGCACATTATTTTATAACCCGGCTTGACGTAAATAAGTTTGCATTTATAGAGATAATATTTAACATACCCAAATAATTAATACAATTATTAAAACAAGTTGCTATGTTGAACATCGCATGCCCTGCCTCTAGCCTTAATTCTCCTTGGTTGTTTGCGCTAATTTTTATGCGTTCATTGAAATTTTTTATTGACACGCCAACACAGTGGACTTCATAAAAATAAGGAATCGCCATATCTACCTAAAATATTCAACACCTAACGTTAATCAAATTATTATAAACATAGGATACACCTATCGCTATTTCTACCATGAAAATTTACTATTTCCACCATATCTTTCACACGACTTACGGCTATATAAACATGACGAATCTCACATGATAAATTACGGCAATAGTGAAAGTAGTAAATTTCCTCGGAGGAAATAGCGATAAGTAAACATAAATTGACAGCATATATACATACATTAAAGGGTCCAATTCTTGGTTCGCTCCTCAAAAAAGTTTCAGGCAGCACAAAAATTTCCTTTTCATTCTTATTAACCTCTTTAACATTCTTATTAAGGATTTGGAATGTATGTTTTTAAAGACTTGATAATATATTTGTAATATGATTAAATATTATCAAAATTTCTTACAGAGTCCTCGCGTTGAAGGCTTAGAATCCATTTTTCTCCAGACTCACGTAGTTTCATATATACAGATGACTCCATGTGTTTATATGTTTCCTTGCACAAACACTCGATCGCGTGAACCAAGTTGTGAGTATTGACTTTAAAACATACGGTTCCAGTATCTTGAAATGAAGGTGGAATGTTGAATTTTAAAAATCGGACATATGCATTGCTTGAGACTTCATAAGATCTTTTTAAAAGATAAATTTAATTATGCAGTGGTTAGTGAATATGGTCAAAGTCTCTAAGGAGTATTGGAGTATTGGAAGTATAAACATACACGCAAACATATACGGATGATTTTATATCTAAACCAATTATTTCCACTTTTGATTGAGAGACAGAAAAGGTGCAATATTGAGACCCGAAGCCCTTAGCAATATTCACCATTCCTGTTTTTGTAAAATGATACTTTATTAACTGCTACAGACTGTAACCGAAATTCAAAGGTATGTGT